TGGAAAAAATGATTATCCGGAGAAATGGATTTTTGATAATGTACATTTATTTCCTCGTTCATATTGCTTTTTTCCTACATTTGTACTATTTGAGATAATTTTCCTGTAACGTGCAATCAACGAATCAAATAACGTCCTTTAAACATTTTCATTTCTTGTTTCAAATATAAATATCAAGTAGGTACTTGTATTAAAAAACTAAAGAATTAAAAATATACAAATTGTCTATTTTTTTAAATATAATTATGTTTCCTTACAACTATGGTTTTTAATTTTAAAGCCATTGTTGTACCTTGCAATTTATATTTCCATTTTTAGTATTTTTACTAAAGCCTTCTCTACTACCAATGCGGTTTATAGAGCGAAGTCTTAAGGATTTTCTGCGCTCACACGTTTTCCTTTTATATTACTTCATTATATTGAAGGTGGAGTGCACGTGCCTGCTACCCTAACCCCTATACAAATTGTGATTGGAGATTTATAAGTTTATTCTGACTTAGAATATTAACTGAAAATGTCAGTGTATGACGGAAAACACTCGTCCAAATAATAAAGCGTTTGAGTACCTCTGACCTAACTAATTTATTAAACTCTCAAGTCCTACATGGTGCAGCTTTAGAGAGACGGACTGACAGCGGTTTTGACACAAGCAAAATCACTCACCGCATCAGCTACTGCTGCGGTGAGCGTTGTGTGTCATATAATTGTGTGATAACGTTGAGTAGAGTTCCTTGTGAAAGAGTTCGTCCAGGGAAGTATTGCCACCTGACCAATTTCAATATGAGCATTACTGCGTTCCGGTTTTGAAGCGTAAGGGTGCTAGTGAAATTACAAGCACATGGGACTTGTCAACTTATATATCAGGGTGACTGGTGCAGAGGCAGTGCCCCTCAGATCTTTGCGATTTATAGTTCTGAGTGGCACTGCAACTGCTATGGATAGGCGTGTCGCTTACCACCAGGCGCACGACTTGTTCGTCCCGTCACTTGGCATCATAAGAAACGATTCTTTGTTACCATTGACTTACAATTACATGGACGTCGGGTCCGCGCTAAAAAGTGTCCGAACTTATAGGGCGTTAAAATCGTATACAGAGCGTCATTCACGCTTTAGTCTTCGTTTGTTCGACTGACAGCGCGCTTGTCAATGATGCCGTATTGTGTAGTAAAACCTTGTAAAAATTACTCAACTAAAGTGAAAAAACAGGATGCTATATCATATTTCCAGTAAGTACTACATTGTGTTATCATAGTTATCATTTCAAAGTGTTATTTTATGCACAAGTTATATAGTATTTATTTTATATTTAAATTAATCGTAAATATAAATTACAAAAGCAATCAAAATAATCAAATAGCTAACTGTCTCTTTCCGACTCATATCTAGCGTAAAAGACTGAACGAGACCCAGAGAACACGTCAATTTCAATTGTTTCAAACACAAGCGTTTGAAATATTTAGAACAAAAACTTCATAGAGTCGCTTTGTTGCTAATGTCATTATTAAAATATTTTTTAATACATGTTAGTAATACTTTCAAATTGTTGTACTCTTTCTACGGCTTGGGGTTACGAATCAGAAGACCGAAAATACATTTGCCCGAAATAACGTTTGCATGAATTTCCATAATCCCAAATGTATTTTTTTAGGTTTTTGTTTTAGAATATTACAAAACAAAACCTAAGCTAACTTAGTATTTTCTTTGTAATAAGCATCCAAAACTCCCTAAAGCATAACGGTTTTATTATGAAGCGGTTTTCAGGATTATGAAAATTTGGCGTTACGTTGAATTTGAATTTAAAAAAATCGAAACATCGGTACATTTCTTATGGCATGGCATAATAAATGTATTTATTTCAGTTTTCCTCGAGATCCTATACTTTGCTCACTATGGAGAAATATAATAGCCGAATCGCGACGAGAAGAACATTTTATCCCGAAAATATACAAATTTGTTTGCTCGGTTCATTTCAGACAATCGGATATGTACATAACCAGCAAAGGCTTACGAAAATTAAAAAAAACAGCTTTCTCAACATTGCTAGTAAGAACTGATTTTTGGTGCCTAGGCATTATATTAAATTTTATTAAATTTATATTAAAGCTTTGGTATGTGATTATATCAATGAGTGAACTGTGCATAGAAAGGAGAGAATACAGGAATTTATCCAGTAAACACAGCTTGAACTTAAGGAGAAAGTGACAAGTATTAACAGAGAACATCTTACACTGCCAAAATGCATTAAAAATCAAAAGTTGGATGAATGACAAAATATGCCAACTTAAGAAACAAAGAAAGTAATTGAAGCAGACTGAAACTGCAAATTAAATAGGATTTTTTTTAAGTTTAAGCAATTTGTAGCTTTCACATGCAAACAATGCATAATAATACAAATAGTACAACCTTGATAGCCTAACGGTTTGCACTGTGGGCCCTGGATGAGAAGTTCCCGGGTTCGAAACCGGTAGGATCAATTTAACAAATTAACTTTTCTAAATGGTTCTGGTCTTGGTATTCTATTGTAAGACAATTACCTGGTCTGAAACAATGGAACTCTCTGTACATACTCCCGTACATACTCTCCTTATAGTTGATTGAGCTAATTTTTTATGGTTTTTAAAAAAAATGTCGAATAACTCGAGAAATCGGGTACGAGAATTCTCGAAACTCAAGAAAAAAATCAGACACCCTAGCTCATAATGTTTGGCATTGTATGAAATTTTAACATTTGCATATAAAATTTATTTATAAATAATAAAGGCTACTCCATTATACCTGTGTTCAAGTACTTTTCACTAGAAGCTACATATGGTGCATTTTGGTAAGTTTCCAGTAGAAGCTGAATATGGTGTTTTTTTGCGCCTTTCAATTGTTGCAAGCAAAATTAGACAGTACTGCGATGACATTACAATTTAAATTCAACGTTTTAGCTTTTTCATATTCCTTTACATGTCACTACGTCTAAATAGGTTGACTTGGGACATTTTTTTCGTGGTTTTTGTATTAGACCCGTCCGTCGTCCATTTTGTAAGTCAATGTTTGTTACCTAAAACTTGCGCATAACCTCCAAATCAAACGTAACTGGGCGTGTTTGATAGAATTGGTTTTTATAAAGATTCCTACGTGTGCTTTTTAGATTTTATAATTTGACGATTAGAATTACTCAAGCTGGCGTAGTGACCTCTATGATAATAATACTAGTTTAAAGTAACGGGCAAATATAAATATAGCAATAAGTAAAATGTGATTGGGGAATGGGTTTCATAAATAATCTATAAAACGACGTTATTTGTAATGTGTTTCAATATTCATCGCAACACATTTTTTTGTAGAGGTAAATGAGCTAACAACGGAACCATTTAGTACCTGAATTCAAATTAGTTAAACCACCATTTTAACAGAAAAACGCCATTATTTACGTAAAATGTAATGATAAGTCAATAACCACCCGAGAACAGTAACTGAATTAGCCTTGTTTAAAAAAACTTCTAAAGAAAACGTTCTTTTAAGTAGGCAGTACTTCCAATTTTTATTAATACTCTTAATAAAAGCTTTTCCTCGTTGAACTCAAAACTCGAGAACTCAAAGAACGAAATTATAACAATAAAAATATTTTGAACGCGTAATCCATCGACATTGGCAGCGTATAACAAGAAAACATTAAACGTGAGAGGATTAATGGATTTAAAACCTTTTTACGTTTATTTACCACACGGTAAAAACAATAATAATTACGTGATCGGAAAATAGCTAATACGGTGAAGAAAACTTATAATCGATGTATGGCAAAGGCGCTAGCTTAGTACACACGAGTATCTGCAAAGCACTGATGTTCAGCTTGATCCCGCTGTTATTTAAAATAGATCTTTTCATCATAATCCTTATCATAACTAACATAATCGACGTTTTTAGCGAAAATAAGTCATTAATCTCGAGATCTACAACCCCCTCTTGTCTGTTTTTTATATCTTATCTAGTTTCAGTGTTATAGTTAAGCTAACTCTGCGCAATTGTTATTTTTTAGGTAACAACAAAACTTTAAGTGCCAATATCTCGAAAGTTACCATAATCCAAATGCGTTAGTTATGACAAGGAGGTCAGAAATATATAAGTACACACGTCAAAAGTGTCTAGGCATCAACCACGTGTTTGCCAATTACTGAAAATCTTATTTTGTTGGTCAATTTTATGATTTTAATTAGAAAATTAAATTGGCCAATAAAAATCCTTTTATGTTAAAAAATCATTAAAACACCTGATTTTCAGTAATTAGCAAGAACGTGTTTGACGCCTAAAGACACATATAATTACGCGCAGAAAAAAAATAGGATTTAAACAATACAATTCGTAATATTAATGATGTTACATATATCATTCACTCACGCATAACATGAAGCAACTAATTACTTAATACTAATAGTAGTTGAGATTTCAAAAATGTTACTATTTCATTTCAGTTATGACACTGTTACTCTTACTGCTGTCTTTTCTTCGGTGCTTTAAAAAAATAAGTGTTAAGTCGCCAATCCAAATATTCTTGGAATATTTTCATAAAGGAGGAGTGGTGATTCAGAATTCTGAGGGTAAACATCAAATTGGAATTAAAGCCTGCTTACTTAGTCGTAAGTAAGCACTGTGTGGTTCTTCCACTTGTCTTAATTCGGATCTCGTAAAATAATCCATATTTCACTTTTACAGTGTATAATGTTTCTCCATGACTATCACTGTCCTTAAATTATTATTTTTACGAGTTCAAAGCTCTTAAAGAGGTATAATAAAACTAAAAATACGCATTTTGCACTAACATACATATATTAGTTACGTAACGATACGAGAAAGATAATTTTTATTACATAATAAAGCTATAAAGCTTTTTAACACAGAATTTTTGTTCCGATTACATCAAGGTATCTAATTCATAGCATTACTTATTTTATACAATTACATCCATAAAAACGTACCACATTGTCGTTAAATTCTAAGTTGTATTGTCTATACATCACTTACTAAATGTATTTATAAAATACATCACACTTTTGCCGTTAGTCGTCACCATCATTTTAAAATTGTAAGTATATAGCCTATGAGCTATTTATATTAGTCACATAGTGTTCCAGCGCTTGGTCACACGAATAGTTTATTTAGACGGTCGTGTCTCAGGTAAGTCCGCCTATATCACAGTTGACCTGGTACATGTAAGTGGCAAGCTCCTCGCCTGTGAGTTCTTCGTCGACCTCACGGAGACTGGAGTTGGAGATGCTGCGGGGTGAACCAATAGAATCAGAGGGCTCGTTGAGTCGGAGTCGCCACGCGTGCCCCCAGTGTCCGTTCCCGTTTGGGGACTCGCTGACAGTTGACAAGTCCCTCCCGTTCATACACTGCAATATAAAAATAAATATTTATTTCTACATAATTAGAGAAAGTGCCCCAAGACATCTTAACCGTAATTCGTTTCAGAAGATAAAGTTTTTTTTATAATATCAAGCGACAGGACAAACAAGCAGTGCGCCTGATAGTAAGTTGAGAAATCCCATGTGCCTGTAATTTCACAGGCACATTTCCCGTCAAAACCGAAAAACAGTAATGCTGACTCCTGTCAAGCAGTCCTCTACTTGGCGGCATAAATAGGTAAGGTGGCAGTACTTCTCTGGACGAACTCTTTCACAAGGAGCTCTAATACTACTAAAGTTAATGAGATTACAGAGGCCTAAGCATTACACAGTACCTAGTACAAACGTAGTAGGAATTATATTAAAGTAATGCGTACTTTTGGGTTCTAATATCGTCTCGTCTCAGATATTTCACTATTTGAAAAGACAAATTGTGTAGTGGCCTTAGCGATTACAAGAAAAGCTAGAGTTTTTTACGCAGTGCTACAAGCGACACTCAACTGGAAGCACAGTAAAGGTATCTGTACATTTTTAAGTAGTGCACTCTCATCAAATAAGAATACTTCAAAATGTTTGGCAAAAATCGAGCCTTTGTTTTACTCATACAAAAGGACAGACTTGGCTATTATACCTTTCAACAAAGAGAAACGCCCTTGTTGGATCTCTTCCAGACAAAAGCTTTATATTTGTAAAAATCTTGTAAATAACTTTTTGTCTCTGTAATTGGCCATATCGTGAAAAAAATTAAATGTGCTAATTACGCTGCTTTTTTTACATCAAGTGCAACATAATACCATAAATATAAAGGTAACCCTATTTGTATAGACAAAAAGAGTCTCCCCGCAATGACATGCGAATCGTATTTGTAGTACGTCGAGCGCACACTGGGCAACAAACGGCGAGTACCTTCCACCGATAGGCAAATTCTTTCATTACGATGGCAAACATATCATATGCACAGTTCAGTATGGCGGTTATGTGGCGTGATCAGCGTCGATACGATAAGAAGAAGAACTCTATTTGTATGGACATAGGTAAAGTCCAAATCTTAGTTACTTTGTAGGTTACTTCTTTTTACGAATTAATTTATGTATCTTAATTTTCCTTGTGCAACGAATGTTCCATTTTCCCGTTGTTTAATATATCCTACATTGAAGTAATAATAGCTTGCAAATATTTTGTTTATACTGTATATATACGGAATTTCCATCCAGTATCGACATTTCTTTGTAAACAAACATCGAGCTCAAGGGTTGACCTCGACTCCCACGTAGGTTTTTGATTACTCAAAGGAGGAACCCTAAATTGCTATGTGAAACGGAAAACCATTCATAAAATTTCTTAGTGAGACGTAAGGACACGCAATTTGCAGTGGTTGCGCAATAAATTCAACCTCTAATCCAAGCGTTCGTCTTATAGCTCTACTAAGCACCAGAATATTCAGATTTCATGGATCCGACGTAAAATATTATTCCTCTAGGGTGCGTGAGGCGTAAATTAAATGATGTCTGAACGCGTCCAATAATAAAGTTTACCAGAAAAAATTACCGTTGTTTTTTGTTCTTGAGCATTATTTAAAAATAGTATTACTATATTATTTTTAAATAATGCTCAAATATATTTAGGATGCAAGCAAGACCGGTCGTTGTAGCGTTCTTTGGATGAAGATTTATAAATATATTAGTGATGTACAAGGTCAACATTTAAATTCAATTCTATGCCGCTTACTGTGAGAACAGACCAAAGTCGAAAGTGTCAAGGTCGAAGACCTCTTGACTGTACTGTACAATACATACATACTCAATAATAATAACGCATTGTGATATATATATATAACAACATTACCGATTTACACGCTAAATTAGTTGTATTTTTGGAAATTCAGTATAGCGCTAAATTCTAGTTGTTAGGAAAAGTTGATGATGGACACATTTTTCTTTGTTTTTATTTTGTCAATCACCACCAATAAATTTCTTAATTTATCATTTTCAATGGCAGTTTTTTTTTTTTTCATTAAATTTTACTCCAATTGAATTCGTACTACTTCTGTGGCCCACCCATTTAAGTTACGAAAATATATTGTAATACCTGTATTTATCTTTAAAAGTCTCGATACGGAAATATTGTCTTAGTAACGACATCAAAAGTATTCTATTTGCCAAGGTTTATTGAAATATCCCCTAGTTCGCACTATACTGGACTTGACACAGGTAGGAGATAATAAAAATCGGTTCTCACTACTCAAAGTATATTGAGAGAAAAACGCCTTGAATTGGAGAATGCAAAATCAACCATTAAAATAATTGCTCCGTATAATAAAATTTAGGCGCTATTTATAAAAATGAATCTTCATGCATGAACAGCCACCCTTAGAGGTACCCTCTTTCCAACAAAAAAAGAATCATGAAAATCGGTTCACAAATACCGGAGTTATCGCGTGACATATAGCCTTAACCAAAAGTATTGAGCACCCTAAAAATCCCGAACGGGCACGGGAACGGGGTTTTATTTATAATGAAATGTATGAAAGTCGGAAATTATTTAAGTCAAAATTGAAGTGGTGTCAAAATCACGAAGAACAATTAAAAATGGATATGTTGGCAAAAACCTATTCCGAGAAAAATTTCAAAAAATTCTGGAAATTAACTAGTAATTTTAATGGAAAACCTGGAAGACCTGTGAGCATTAACGGTGTCACTGAAAAGGCTGACATTGCTAATCTTTTTAAAAATCATTTTAAAGTTTTATCACCATTGAGTGCTAATGAATCGTCGGAAAGTAACTGCTGTATTAAGTCTAATCCAAAGGACATTATTATTAGAATTTCAGCCAAGGATGTTGAAAAAGCTATTAGGGATATAACCCGGGGCAAATCACCGGGACATGATAGTCTGAGCATAGAGCATTTGCAACACGCTGGGGTGCATTTGTTTAGAGTGCTTGGTATGTTCTATTCATTGTGTATAAGTCATTGTTATTTGCCACATGAACTAATGAAAACTGTTGTTGTGCCCATACTCAAAAATAGAACCGGTGATATTTCAGACTTAAAGAACTACAGACCCATATCATTGGCGACTATCACAGCTAAAGTATTGGACAGTGTGCTTGAGAAGCACCTTAGAAAACATGTCATCATACATGATTCCCAATTTGGTTTCCAGGCCGGCCTGTCCACTGAGTCCGCGATTCTAGCTCTCAAGCACACTGTGCGTTACTACACGGACAGACGTACAAATGTGTACGCATGTTTCCTGGACATATCTAGAGCCTTTGATATGGTATCATATGATCTGTTGTGGTCTAAATTACGAAATACTGGTATGCCACCTGAATTAGTTTCTGTTTTTGAGTATTGGTATGGTAATCAAAGTAACGTTGTAAAGTGGGACGGTACTTTTTCTGTGGCGTACAGGTTGGAGTGCGGGGTGAGGCAAGGTGGTTTGACATCGCCGACGCTCTTCAACCTGTATGTTAATGATTTGATTTGCCGATTGAGCAGTGCCCGAGTAGGATGCCATATCGATTCCGTCAGCGTGAACAACATAAGCTACGCCGACGATATGGTGCTGCTCGCCCCGTCTGTCAGTGCGTTGAGAAAACTTTTAAAGTTATGTGAAGAGTATGCGGTCTCGCATGGACTATGTTATAACGTAAAAAAGAGTGAATTTATGGTTTTCAAAGCGGGTTTTAAAACCTCAAATTATGTACCTCCAATACGGCTTAATGGAGTAGACCTCAAAAGAGTCACTGAGTTTAAATATTTGGGACACATTGTGAATGAACGCCTTAAAGACGACAGTGACATTGAAAGAGAGCGTAGAGCGCTGGTGGTAAGGGGAAATATGCTGATCCGCAGATTTGCTCGCAGTACTAAAGAAATAAAGATTTTACTTTTTAAGACATATTGCCAGTCGTTTTACACGAGCAGTCTGTGGATCTCATATAGCAAATGTGCTTACAGTGCTCTGCGCGTTCAGTTTAATAACATCTTCAGGGCTTTGTTGGGGAGGCCGCGCTTCTGCAGTGCGTCGGGGATGTTTGCCGAAGCCCGTATTGACGATTTCTATGCGATCATGCGTAAAAAGGCGAACTCCCTGAGATGCAGATTGCGTTGCAGCACCAACGGAGTCCTGAAGATGATAGCTGATAGGTGTGAGGGCCCCATCCTCAAATATTGGATGGACCTACAGAGGGGGGTATATGTCCATATCCGAAATTAGATGTGTAGGAGTTGTATATGTGCCCTTCCTTCTTGTAGCATTTTATTATAAATTTATAGATTAATTACTTACGTACTAACCTAATTTTAAGTCAAATTGTTACTAACTAACTAACAATACTATGGACGAAGTCTGAAATAAACAATATTTTATTTTATTTTTTATTTTTTTTTTTTAATAAGTATTGCCGAAAACAGATCCTATTGTTAAGGATTATTTTTTCGGCATCTACAAAGGTTTAAAAACAATGACCCCCACACCGTAACTAGCAATAAAACACCTGGTGCCATAAAATTTGTCATTTTACGATTTTTGTATTTATTTCTCAGTTCACTACTATCATTCGTTACGTACACATCCAGTGATCTAGTGCGCTTTTGGTATTTTGTTTAGTTCCATTTAGTGATATTGTTGAAATATGCCTAAAAAAACGAACTTAGTTTAGAACAACGTGTGCAGATACAACTTCTGCATGAGCAAGGGAAATCACAGGTAGAGATTTCTAAAACTGCGAAATGTTCGCGCCGATCTGTGCAATTAACTATTGAGCGATTCGCCGCTACTGGGTCCCATAGTAACAGATACAGAACAGGGCGCAAACGCATCACCACAGATCGTGAGGACCGAAAGTTAATGAGAGAGTCATTAAAAAATAGGAAGAAAACTTCTTCAGATCTCGCTGCTGATTTCTCTGTCGAAATTAACAGACCTATTTCTGCTCGCACTACTCGAAGAAGGCTTCAGGAAGTTGGTCTGAAAGGCTGTAAAGCCAGGAAGAAACCATGGCTCTCACAAAACAACAAGAAGGCTCGGTATGAATAGGCCTTAAAATATCAAAGTTTCACCGAAGAAGATTGGTCAAATATCGTGTGGTCAGACGAGTCAAACTTTGAGATGAGTTAGACAATTTTACGTTCTTAAGATATTAAACAATATGATTTGAAAATAAAATTCAATAACACAAATATTTTAGATTTCCGAAGTCACTACATTTTTAAATAATTTCAGATTTTTGGTACACCTGGTGTGACTTTTGTGCGCCGCCGGGCAGGCGAAGAATTTAGTCCAGCCTGTATAGTGCCAACCGTAAAACACGGTGGAGGCAGCATAATGATCTGGGGCTGCATGACTGATTCAGGAATCTTCAAAATACATCAACGTCCTGGAATCTGCGTTGCTGCCCTCATTTTCAACTCTTTTTGGCGATTCAAATATGGATGGCGTCAAATTCCAGCAGGATAACGCGCCATGTCATAAATCTGCCAGCACTATGACATGGTTTGGAGAAAAAAACATTGAGCTTCTGGAGTGGCCTGCCCAGTCTCCGGACCTAAACCCCATAGAACATTTATGGGGTTTATTAAAGCGCAACGTCAGGCGCCACCCAATAAATACAAAGGAAGAACTAAAACGCCGTCTGCGCCAAGAATGGAACGCT